GAAATCTTTAAATATCTTAATTAATAATATATTAAATAAGCGTTTACTTTTTAATTTAATTAAGTTTATGCTAATTAATGCATATATTTTTATAAAATTATCATTAATTTATTTTATAAAGTAAAGTAATTTTAAGGATATTAAAGATTTATATAGCTTAAGCTGCATTAAGGGGTTTTATATAATTTTTTTTAAATTTCTTAATAACTTAAATAATTAAAAGAATTTTATTATCTTTTAATAAAGAATATATAATATATTTATTAATTTTTAATGCATTAAATATTTAAGTAGGTAAATTAAAGCAAGATTAATATAAAAAACTAAGGCATAATTAACATTAAATAAAAGCCTTTATATTAAAACCTTAATAATTTTTAATTATATTATAATTACATTAATCCCTTTAAATTAATAAAATTAATTAAAAATAAGTAATTAAAAGTAATTAATATTAATTAATATTAAATTTTATTAAATATTTTATATTAAATAAGTATTAAGGTTAATATAAGTTAATAAATATTATAAAATTAAATTACTTATTAATATAAACTACTTAATAATAAACTACGTTAATATTATTTAATATAAAATATAAGTTTTTTATTAAAAGTTATTTATTTTAAATTTATATTATATTTATATTAATTACTTTAAATTAATTAAATTAATTAAAAATAAAAAATTAAAAATAATTAATATTAATTTATATTAAGTTTTTATTTATTTATTAACTTTAAAATAATATTAAAGTTAATTAAAATTAAATAAAGTTATAAAAATTTATTATTTATTAATATTTATTATTTATTATTAAATTATATTATATATTTTTATAATTTATAAGAAATTATATTTTAATAATATAATTAATATTATTTAATATTAAATATATATTTTTTATTAATGGTTAATTAATTTAAATTAATATTATTTTTATATTAATATTTTTAAATTAATTAAATTAATTAAAAATAAAAGATTTAATATAATTAATATTAATAAAAGTTTATAAACTTTATTAAAAAAATTATTTATTAATAAAAATTACTTATTAATAAATTAAATTATATATTATATTTTTCTTATAAAGTATTAAAAGAAAGTAATATAAAAGTAAGTTTATATTAATTAAGTTTTATTATTAAGTTTTATTATTAAGTTTTATTATTAAGTTTTATTATTAAGTTTTATTATTAAGTTTTATTATTAAGTTTTATTATTAAGTTTTATTATTAAGTTTTATTATTAAGTTTTATTATTAAGTTTTATTATTAAGTTTTATTATTAAGTTTTATTATTAAGTTTTATTATTAAGTTTTATTATTAAGTTTTATTATTAAGTTTTATTATTAAGTTTTATTATTAAGTTTTTAACTTAAATTAAATATGTTATTTTTATTTTTAATTTAATTTAATTTAATAAATTAATTAAGTTAACTTTTATTTATATTATATAATTATAATAAGATAATTGCGAAAAGTCCTTAATAATTATCTTTTTATATATTATGTATTTCTGCTTTACTTTTAAAAAACACACACTTATTATTATGGCGGGTTGGGAAGGTTAGGGGACATGATGTTAATGTATATATACCTTAGAGGGCTAGTAATGTTTGAGCAGCCAGAGTCAGCCTCTTACCAATCCATCTTTGCTAAAAGCAAGAGGAAAACGAGCCGAGTGTTACAGTTGCCTATACTATCCAATCAAGAATATCTCTTCAAGGAAGTTCCTCTCATCCCCAATGTTGGGAAGACGACCACCCACACACCGCCGTCCTTAATTACCATATTTTGTTGGGCGTTATCATTCCTATAGTTATCAACTACAGGTGTCGTAGATCCTATTGCTGAGTGGATCCTGCTTATATTACTTGGTACACTGCCTCAACAGCTTCTCCTGAAGCACGAGGGGTTTGCTTTGCATGAACGAAGTGTGTTAAGCCTGCTGGAGCTGCTGCTGCGGCACCGCTTGGACGTGGCCGCAGCGGGGAGGGCGCCGGGCTGTGTACCAACTGGGACGGGGACCGATTCGACTGCTTGAGCAGCGCTTGATGAAAAGATGGGGCCCCGAGAACATGTTCATGGGGACTGACGCCGACGGTATTGATGTCTTTGTGGTTATTATGAAATCATGACCATCCATCCACATGAGAGCTTTCTGGTAGCCTTAATACCAGAAACTGTAATTCACATAGCTCAGGATGACAAATGGCTATCGTATGCCCCCACCCAAAGGCAAACCTGAAGAAACCGAGGGGCAGTGGTCAGGTGAAGCCAGCGAAAGCCATTGCAGGAGGAGCTCAATGTGGCTCACACCGTGGGCCTGAGCCACATGAATCTCGCAATTGACGGCACTCGACTGGAAGATGATGACGCAGGAAGATTATCTCGTGTTGCTTGCGCCCAAAGGTTGTAGAGTTGGCGGATGTGATTCTTCTTTTGTGAATGTAGTCCCTCATTGCTGACAAACGCTGGAAAAGAAACAGCGGCCGCGAGTCGCAGCCGCCGCTCGACCCGGCGCGGATGTGGTCATTGACAAGAATGTCGAGGATTTCATGCTGGAAGCTGACGGATTCCATGGCGGGGGCTGCTGCCGCAGCCGCAAACGGCATTGTGGTTGAAACGGGCCAGGACGGAGAAGACGATACGTGAAACAATGGATAAAGACAACGACGAGTGGGCGCAAGCGAGATGTGGATGAGCGTTAGTGACGGAGTGCTGACTCGACCGCAAGTAAACACATCCGGCTTAAGTCGCAGGCCCGTCATTGACCAGACGCCGGAACAGGGAGTCATATAGCGTTTCAAGTCATACCAACAAAATGTTACTCCGCGTAGTCGTACATGTCAACGTGAGGAATAAAGCACCCTCGTCCCCAGCCAGAAATGTCCGGAGAACACAGTGCCTTGCCGCGGGAACTTAGAAACGTACTGGAACTGGTAATTTCGCATACAATGACATGCAAGCAACCGTCAGGGAGCGGATGACTGTCAACGGCAAACGACAGTTTTTCACAGCAGCCGGGTTCTAATAATTTCGCCTGCCGAGTCGTTCGCTCTTTCAAGGACGCGGCGGCCGTCGAGGGAATGCCGCCTATCCCAGGTGATAAGAAAGGGAGAAGATCTCGCGCAGCTTAGAACTTCTTCCTGGACCGCAGACGAGGCATTTAAACGAAGAACACATACGGCGCGTGGCTCAACTCCTTGAGACCGCAGGACATTAAGCCTTTCCGACAATTTCTCTCGGAAAAAAGAAAAGCATAGGTGGAAAGTCCAGAAATGGACATACTGAAACATTACAAATAGCGGATGGGCGCTGGCTATGCTCACAAGCGATGTAGAACCCTTATACACTTAAAGTCTACTCTCTGGCCGGAATGATTATAGCCGCACACACAACTATCAATAGGGACTTCAGGCGTCTTGTGGGAGACAGCCCAGGGAGGCGTAATTTGTGGTTTATATTATAAGAAGAGCAGTTTATAAAGCAAATTTCTTAGCAGAATGGGTGGCAGCTATCTCTTTTAATAAGAGCCCCTGCAACGCCAATTACTGGGCGACCCATTCACACCCTACTATGACTGCCACACGTCTGCTCTGGCCTCCAAAATCAATGTCGAATTTGCTTGGCTCTCTGCGGTGAAGGTTGTGATGTTGGTCTGTTTTCGTTCATTCTTATTCGGTAGGCAAAGGCAGCTCGTCTCGATCGTTGTGAAGATATCTCTAATCGATGCATCGAACGAGTCAGAGGCAAACTGGGAGAACAAGACTCTGCGTCTGTAGCTTAGGTCCCCTTGGCATTTGCATGCTCGTGGAGGCTAGCGGCAACTGCTCTGTGGGTAACGATAGCTCCTTTCGGTGTTCCAGCCGTCCCTGACGTGTCCGCGACGTATGCTGCGTGCTCTGGACCGACTGTTGAGCAAATCCTAGTCTCGACCATTTTTTTGGTTCTGAATAGCTTTCCAGAGAGCGGAACAAGCCAGCTTCGATCTCGGGGAGCTGCGGCTGTGGGTTGTCCAGGGCATTCTGAGCGGCTGATGATGAACGACCACAGTAGAATCGATGCCCCGACCTTCTGGGCGATGTTCCAAAATTCGTGCTCCAGCCTGTGAAGGATGCGAGAGAAAAAAACACCGTCTTGCCATAGAAGCGGCCAATCTAGACTGGCACCACTCTCTCTGGTCTAACCTGAGCCCAAAGAGAGACCTGGCAAGACTTCTTGTCAGGTCGTTCAGCTCCCTATACGCCATTGAGAAGTCCCAGCGATGTATGGCTTTTCTCTATGGAGGCTTTATTACTCTCCTCACAAAGATCTCATGGATACAGTCTTCCATGGGAATTGATCAATGAATGATTCCATCGCCAAAACTTGTTGATTTGGTAGTGTCCTGATTTCGCCATCTCACTAGAACCTCTGTGTGGTTCCCGCACGAGCTGCCCCAGGACGTGGCCGGTATTATCGGCAACACTGTCAGCGTAATGGTCAGTAATTGCTGATGTGTGGTATTCAACGTGAGCAGAATTCTCAGTTATCTTCTGATGTTTTAATATAGAGTCAGATCTTATTAAGTATGAGTATTCATGTATAAAGGTTTATAAAATGCAAAACATAATTTTAAAAATTATAAATGAGTAAAGCACAAGAGTTAGATAAAGAACTTTGCTCCTACTGAGATAAAAATTTGGACCATACCAGGATCGAACTGGTGACCTTCGCATCTCTAACCATATGTGAGCACAAAGGCTCAAATATAAGAACGACGAGATAATCCACTACTCCAATGGTCCTTTGTAAGCTTTGGAGAAAAGCTTGTTAAGTAGTGGCTTCAGTAAATAATTTCAAATTTTCTTGTTTTGACTTATGTCTTGGGTTTATAAAATGTTATTTGGTCTATCCTTTCATCAAGACATGAACTACAGACTAGTTGTTAGTTTCCTGGGCTAGCCAAGCAATTGTGTTGAGTTGTGTCCTAGTTGGTTTAATGAATGTGCCTATTTGGCCTGGGCCAAGACCTTCAAAGAGTCCATCGTGTTCTCTGAGCTTTTGGTTGAGTCGACTGAGGAAAAGTCAAGCGTGGCCATGGACATCACCTTTGGCTTCAGCTCAAGCTACTCACCAGACCGGCTCTCACTGCCTCTGAGCACCATTGCACCGATGACCCGAGGCAGAAGATCTGATGACCAGATCTGTTTGATGTCCCGACTTTTGGACGCCTGGGTTGGCGTTGACATTCCCGCAGAATAACCTGTCACCAGTTGGTTCTTTCCCTTGTTCTGAGCCTTTTGTTCTGTCTGACCCTTCCTATCACCGGAATCAGCCCTACGCAGAGCCGTCTTGAGTTGGCCCAATGCATCGATCAGCGCAATGAGGCTAGTGTTGATGGCCTTGCTTTCAGCTGAATCGGCCCGGACGTCAGCCTTCTCGTGGCTGGCCAGATCGACCAAGGTGATAGACCCGGCCGCGGAGAAGCTCAAGGCAGGTGAAGCAATGGCACCGTGACGGGCTCTGGTTAGCGTCGCTCTGAGCGACGTGTCCGTGTGGCTTTCTCCAGTGCGTTTTCAAGGCCTTTTCCATCCACCACCTTAACGCGGCAACAATGGTCACTAGGGTCAAGTATGCCGTTGGACTTGAGAAGCTTCAGCTTTTTTCGCTCCTGTCTGTGATGCTCAGAGGAGATCAAAGAGACTGTCAAGGTAGATCTCTACAGACCGCAGGCTGATGCACTCTTCCTCGCCACTGTCCTGAGGCGGCTCATTGTCCACAGACCTTGCTACTCCAGGCTCCTCAATGACATCGCTGACCTCAACTTCGGGAAAGATAAGCCGCACGACATGGTCCCAGATGCCCTGACTCGTCCAGGACTTCCCTGTCCCAGTTCTCCCGCAGAGGATGATGAGCAAGCGCTCACCGCGGCGCCCTGCGGTACGCGCTTGATACGATGCAGTTTGTTGTCATTGTTGGCGGTTCCGATGGCATCTGCCACACCGCCAACAACAGAACCAGCAGCTGGAACCACGCTGCCGACTGAGGCCATGCCGACTGCGATGGCTTCCGGAACGAGGGCCACGAACAGGGCTGGGACTGGCTGGATCATGAGAGCTGCGACAGCCAGCAAACTAATCGGCTTTATGTAGGAAAGTATTTTATATATTCTTTCGCTGCTGATGGTAAGAGAAGCAAGGTCTGCAAGCGGACAAAAGTGCTGGCTGAGATGAGCGATGTTGGCCGAATTGATGATTGTGGCGGAAGCCCATGCTTGATTTGTAAGTGTTTTATACGGTGTTTAAGAGACTAAGTGGTGGTCTCGTTTTTAATCTATATATATATGCTTCTTAAGCAATATGCATCCAGTCCATCCACATAATAATAAACGCTTAAACACTCAGCGTTAAAAAAAATATAATGTTAATAATAATAAATTTTAAATATAAAATATAATAATTTTATAAATATAATTTTAATTAAAACTTAATTTCTTTAAATTTATATTAATAAGTATCTTATATAAGCTTTAAAAAAACCCTTATTAATTAATTTATTAACTTTAATAAAAGTTAAAATAAAGAATAATTCCATTAATAATTATTTATAATTATTTTATAAAGTTATTATAAAACTTTTAAAGAAAAGTAAATAAGATATTTATAATAAAATAAGTAATATAAAGAAATATAATTATATTATATTACTTTAATTTTACTTTTTTATTATAAATAATTAAAAAATACCTTAAAGTATTAAATAATAATTAAAAATAAACCGTAAAAAAGGGAGTTTAAGGTTTCTTTAATAATAAAATGTAAATAAATATATTAAGCTAAATGCAAATTTATATATAAGCTTAGGGAAGAATAATTGGAAAGCTAAGTAGATAGCAGATAAACTAATGAATAGTTAATTTTTTTTTTAAAAAAAAACATAATGTGGCCGAAGCCTTAAGAGACTAAGAGTGTATCAAAGCATATTCCACACGGCAAGTATAGATATTAGCAGGTGGAGCATAAGTGATAGACCAGTACACCCAGGCCGTTTTGTTCCGTCCCCTTCTTTAATGGACATGATTCCCAAACCATCAAGAAGCCCATGAACTCTCAACAGCCAAAAAGCACACATCAGATCGCCAGCCGAATCCTATCAGCCGCCTTTCCAACCCTGTTCGCCTCAACTCCAACTTCAATGCTTTGGAAAGCACTCAGCATCTCGGCCGGCTCGCACATGCCTGATGACTGTGTTGCTTCCGAATCTATTGCACTCGCATTCCACAGAGTAGCTGTGCTGTTTTTGTAGAATCACACACCACCCGTCCAGTCTGGCTATATTCCAGCTGTATGGTTGGACAGGAACCGGTTGCTTGTGTTCCACTGGACTGTCCGTGTGGCGTGGGACCGGGACTCCCAAAGGCAAATGTTTGCTCATTAAATAAGAAAAAAGATTCATCTAGCAGCTTAGACAAAGCCCTGACCAAGGGCGATAATGATACCATTATCAGTGTGGAGAACACAGCTTCATGTTGAGACTGGAAGTCAAGGTATTACCAACATCCACGCTTGTAAGACAGACAACACAGAGCTTAAGCACAGCACAACACTGGATCATACCTGCATATCATCTCATGGTTTATAATCTTCAGCTCTAAACTGTGACAATCCTGCCAGTAGCCACAGCTCTATTGGAAAGCCCCCAGCGCGCTCAGTGGCCTTATCATCTGAACTCACCAAACCACACGTTTAGCTACAGTGGGTCACTTTAACCAGGTTGTTTGCAGTGATACTAACTCATCTCATCTAACCCAAATGGACTCTAGAAGGCAAGACCCTCGCCTACGCAGGTGCCACCAGGAACCCAATCACCAACTGACGTAGCGAAACCAGAAACTTGCAACACAGCTGCTGCGTGGCAAGGTCAGATAACCAGGCAATCGGTGTCTGCATTGCGGCCTTCGAAGGGACGAATACTCATCAAAGTGGTCTTTGAATGGAAGGGAAGGCATGTTATATAGTCTGCAGGTCCATCAGTCCGCAATATTAAAGCAACCTAAACATCTCAAAAATATACAGTGATCCTTATAGGGTGTCTTAGCCGCAGACTATGGCCAGCACCTGCTGGTCCCATCGCCCCACTAAGTGTTCATTGAGAATACTATCTCAGCCAAGTCCAATTCCATGGAGCTTCTAACGCAGTTCACATAATATCATGCCTCACATTTCCCCCTCAGCATCTTACAACCCATATAAATAGCACGGGTCTTTAACATAAAGTGCTAATCACAGCCTTTGTAGCTGGTTGAAAACACGTAAAGACTCAATATCAATATAGGAGACAGCGGGGCCGTAGTAGTCCTCAATAGCCAAGCTTATCTTAACACTACTCCAGTCTTCGTCCAAAATGGGTAATTATACATCTATCAGACTTGGATAGGATAGAAAGCGCTCATGTCTCCACAGGAGACAACTTTCCATAGGGCCTTCCGCCGGCACCTGTTAACATTTTCGTGGGGGCCTGGTTGATCCTTCTGCTCGCTTTTGTCTCTTCTCAAGTCTTGAAACTTCCCTCTACTTTTCCTCTCCAAGGTCCTCCAACGTCGCTCATCGTCATGCTCGGCGCAGTCGAGGCTTATTAACAAAACCCTGTGGCACCCAAATCTTGTGCAGAGGCGCTCAATCCCGACCGTTGAACTTTACGTATCGGGTCCAGCTGTCAATAGCTGACTCATATACACTGGACGCAGCAATGGCGGTCCAGGTAAACTGCCTCATGGGAGCTGTGCAACCTTAGTCTTACGGTTCCGAGGTTGATTGGGCTTCCATGGCGGCAGGCAAAGCTTCCGTGTCGCCACGCAAAGCCATGGCAATAACGGCGAACTCAGGGGGCAATCCAACGACAGCCGTCGTTGAACGTTGCGGCGTCGATGCCATCCAGTCACTTGGAAATGAGCCATGTCACTTCCCGGGCAACCATTAATTTTTTCTGCACAGGCTCCTCATGCTGCAGCCGGCGCGGTGTTGCCCATGAGCTGTTTGATGCGGATCAGTACCAGCGTCTTGTCGTTGCCAACGTTGCTCACAGAAGGCTGTGCTTCGAGATGGCGACTGCCAGTTGTAAGCACCTCGCAGGAGGATATACAAACAACGCTGCAAGATACAGGCAGCATGTGGTAATGTCGGTGGTGCAGACTTGCTGACGTCTGGCCTGGCAAGGCATGTCAGTGAGTGTCAGTGGGGCCAGTGTTGAAGAAGGCCCTCACGATGTGCACGTGGCATCTGTGCCTGCTCAGTGTTGGCGCCGTGTCTGCTCACACCACGGGGAGGAGACACAAGGGCTAGCTGATCAGATTCAGGTTGGTTTCCCAGTGGTGCAGTTTGCATAGAAACCGTTCTTGGTATTGGATGACGCCGACAAACCCCTCAGACCGGTGAGGAGCACCGATAAGGGCCTGTGAACCCGAGGGGCTTTCGGACCCGCAGTGATATCGAACGCTGAATTCTGATGACTGCATTGCAGCATCCTCCTGGACTTTCTCCAGTTGACCCTGTCTCGACAGTCCGACAACAGCCCAAGCCAGATGGCGCATCTCCTGTCTGTCACCTGTCTGATGGGGTGTGAAGGTGAGCCCCCGGTGGACACGAATGGGTCGATTGGTGCCTGGAGTATTGGCCCCAGACCTGGCGCAGTGCCGCTCCTTGTCCTTTGGTCCGACGAGTATTCGTGCACATCTTCTGACCGACTGGGCACAGCAACTGGGGCAGTTTTCTCGCTTTTCTTGGGCATCTGGGCATCCGGATCACAGATCAGCCAGGTTGCCTGGCTCTCGCTAGATAGGGACACAAGTCAGAACCGATGCTGACTCGAGAGTGGCTTCTTGAGCCGGCTCGGATGCTGGGACAATGGAGTCTGAGGGATCGCAGTCGTGGGTTTCCTGCCCGAGTAGTTCCCCTCCCATGCGATGGAGCTCTCCAGCCCACTGTACGTACATACTGTAATCATCCTCTGAGCTGTTGGGCAGCCGGGCGGGGGCCAACCCCAGTCAATTGCGAAGGCCCCCCCCCCCAGGATCGGAACCAAGGCCGAAGTGACAGGCTTCTCCACCCCGGGGATTTTATGCTCGGGTGCCGGAAGTGCAGGGTGCAGGATGCAGGAATGCCCTATGCAAGCTGCGAGAGTCTTTGTGCATAAAAGTACGGTCTCGACCGTTACTTATACACGCACCCAACCACGACGGGCCAAGTCCTCGGACATGCGGATTGCACGTCGGAGCTTCCAAGGCCACGGCCGCAATATCTGGGTGCCGCAACTAGTGGATTGGCCTACTGCACTGACTGTACTGTACTGTGCAAGTTCGGACCAGGGCTACTGTGCTGTGCCTACCAAGGCATGTGTGCGGTCGATCCCACCCGGTACACTGTGCCTCGGAGCGCCTGGCTCAGAGCTGCGAAGCTCACGAGACACGCGGGCTGCTGTTTGACCTCACCGCGGCCCTTTTCTGCGACGAGGACTGCAGGAATCAAGCATCCTGCACGCTGCACCTGACAATCACCAATTCGATCTGCAGTCTCGACGCCCAGGGGGCCCCCCCCCCTCAAGCATCTGCCATCCAGTCAGCACCCTCGCGAGCCGCGGTGACATCGTGCAATTGCCGAGCAGCGGCCAATTAAGCGACCAGCAGATCCAAAGTGCCCCACGAGATGAAATGGAGGTGAGCGCCAAGTGTGTCCACATCTTGCCACCCACACCCACACCCACACCCACACTCGCATCCGCTGGCCACTGGCCGCTGGCCGCTGGAATCCGCATGGAGAGGCGGATTCCCTCACATATTGCGCGCTTTCTCGCTACCGCCCGCGGCTGGGCTGGTGTCTATAACAAGGGAGCCCTTTCCGTGATATAGGGCCACCAAAACTGCTACCGTCCTGCGACTCTCGTACGACAGGAAGCCGACTGATCTGCCCTTTTCCGGGCCATTCTCCTCGTGTCCGTGGAGCTCCAGACAATCATGTACCCTTTCAATCCCGTGATCAACAGGCTGCATCGGTGCCGTGACAACCAAGATGGGCCCCCTTTGTGGGCTCAAATGAAATCCAAATCAGAAGCAGACACCCTACCGAATTCTAATTCCATATTCGGTCGAGCGGCCTCAGGTATATCCCCGTTTGGGAAATCGCTCACTCTCCCAAGCAGTCATCATCTCCGCCGGGCGTGACATCGGCACTGGCCTGGATGGGGGCAGACCCCCTCCATGCTCGTACTTGGGAGCTCTGCACATAGCCCTCGAGCTGAGATGCAGTAGCGCAGGGAAGACCCAGTCAGACGGCGATCCCAGCAGGATTTGCTTGTTCCACACTGTCTAGTTTCTCGGCTTGGCCTGCGATGACAGTCTCCCGGGGGCCGCTGTCCGACCTCCCATGGGAAAGGGGGTGTTCCGTATTCCAAACCTTGCTGGATCTTGGCTTAGTGGCGTTGTGACATTGTCGACAGGATTCCAAGTTGGCTTTGTCCTCGAGGCATCGCGTTGCCGCCCACTTGCTAAATTTGCTGCCGCCCAACACAGAAATTGCCGAGTTTGATCGATTCACTACTTAGTGGTCAGTGTGCGTGTAGTGGATGGTCCCACGATAGAGTTTCTTATGCGACAATGATCGCAAATGAAGCCAATATCACTTAGATGGCGGTCTCCAAACCAAGCACGACCTGATCAAGGGTCCAAATCTGGAACTACAGTTCAGCCACGTCCCGTAGGAAAACAAGCTCTTGTCACAGATCGGCATGACGACCAGCCGTTGCCGTGATGCTCCCCAGCTTTCAAACGGGAAAATGGCCCAAAGACAGCTGCAAGACACTCGGGCAATCTCGGGCCCATCCCCCAGAACCAAGATGGGATCAAGTCAGGCTCGGGTTCAACCGAGACCACACCTAGCAGACAGCTGTGTTCCTGGTTGGCGATTAACTCGGTGCGCTGTGAATACCAACCAAAACGTTGAGCCAAACCCGGGTCGCAACGAACTGTCACATATCAGATCAGGCTTTGAAACTTTCCGCAAGCCCGTCATCGTGCTGGCGACGGGTTGTGGAAGGGCACGTATCGACGGTACGAGGCCCGTTGTTAAGCTTAACGAGAAATCCACAAGCCCCAACAAAGTTGCCAGTCGGGGCCGCAGAGCCATCGGTGTCTGAGAGGAACAAAGTCATCGTCAAACAGCAAAAGTCTGAGCACCTTGACCTTTGCACCATAAGGTCAGTCATGTAAGAAACCTGGAAAGGATAGAAGCCAAATTCCTTTTCTTCAAGTAACCGGCTTTTCCGAGAATCCATGGACTTATAGGCTACTTCTGTAACGGTATGCCTTACGCGTTGGCTCGAGGACCAAGCTCTACCAGGTATCAAATCCCTCTGATCGTGACGTTGCCCAGGCACACACGCCATCAATAATTCCAACCGCTTTATGAATGATATCGAGAGTGAAGCTGCGGTATGACTCCCGGATCATGCAGGCCACATCCGCTTTTATCTTGTAGGCTCCTGTGAAATCCCAATTGTTTCATCATCTTGTGACGACGATACTGCCGCGCACCCGCGACGGCACAGCGAGCCATTTAGAGAAGCTTATTTGTCATGGCAGCCCTGAAGCGTACCAGTATGGGTGGTCTACCACTTGTTTGGCTTCCACAATCGGCGGCTGCCCGGCAAGCTTCAACGAGATCAGTCCCATGGTACCGTACACGATAGATAGGGCTGGAAATCTATACAACCAAACAATGGACCAGAAGATCTCGTGTTAGCATGATCTGACATAGTCAATGGTTCAAGGCTTGTGAACCATTCCTGTGACCTATCTCGGTTCGCGCGTAATGACTCGTCCACACCAGCAGATGATGCCCGTCCCGGGTAGCCTCGAGGTGGTGGCTGGGACAGGCCAGAGTCAGAACCACGGAGTCACCGAGCTCAATCCTGCAGTGGCGGCATGTTGGTTGGCCGAGGAGACAAGGTTCGGGCTGCCGCTCGAACCAGACTTTGGGCGACAGGCGGGGCACCAATCTTGAAGGAAGTCTGGTCGTGGTGGAACTTTGGTTCAGGGCGGGGGTGATGGAAGACGACGATTTCGCTACCATGGGAGTCTGCCACACCACACTTGGCCGGGCCGCTCACGGATAACCACTCCATGAACACCTGTGGATGTGAAGGGACAACTTTCCACGTTGTCATTGTAATCTGGCGAGCACGTGTTTGGTCATCGAGTGGTTGGCAGTGACGACGCAGAAGGAGGCTTGGGACGAAGAAGAAACCTCAAGCCCTGAGATATTCGGCACTTGAAGGGCGAGTGGGGATCGCGACGAACAAGGACCAGCCACTCTGTAAGGCTCCTTACTTTGGCTGTCGACTTGGTCCAACGAGGCCTGAGTGACACCCGCCATGGTCTTTGGAAATGAGTACGGACAGCCTGAAGCAGCGTCTCCGTGCGCAAGCCTGCCCGGCATGTTCAGCATTCTGACTCTCCGCTTCCTCTTCACCAGAATCACAGTAGCTCGCATTCTAGAATCTTTTATTCTGATCAAATGCTCAACGCTACGGCCTCGCCAGGAGTTGGGGGAAAGAAAGAGAGCATCTGAGAGTTCACCTGAACGAGCATCTAAGCAGAGGCGCAGATACCTTCGTCTGTTTCATGGCACACAGGACGACGTATCCCGTGTGCATTGGAATCCTCAGACCTTTGTCATCTGGAAATGATGCCCACTCAGCACTGTACATCATGCATTGGTTTACCAAAGTTTGCTTGCGGGGGATGTCCCGGATACTCTCCTTCGGTCCCAGTTCTATCCATCTCAGACGTCGGATGCTTGTGATCGGATATGATATTATTGGATGAAGGGGCAAACCTGACTAGCGAAGAACGCTTACTCAAGCGGCCAGCAACGATTTTTCGCAAGAACCCGTTTCGCGACCGGGTAAGGTTTGCAACAGACCTGGCCACATAGCAGAATCGGTGGATCTCAAAGATTCGTCATACATGTTGGGAAGGGAAATGGTCGATATCTACAAAGCGAATGTACACCCTGTGAGGAGCTGGCGAGTCCGGCATGGCTCCCCTACAATTTCAGGCCCACAGACAAGTGTCCATGCATTGACAGGTCTCAAGAGACTTTACCCGGCCAAGCCACCGTTTTCTAATCTGAACTTGGCCATTTCCGTCAGTGTAGCCTTTCGCCGGTCTCACGGTCCAGCCTCGAGGGAGCCGTCCCGGTGGAGACAGACATCATGCCGGTGCTGGATAAAACCTTGAAACAATACAGAAGAAACAAGCGACATAGGAAGAGCATGGGTACCCATCAGGAAGACATCGCATTGCTCCTTAGCCGACCCATGGTGATCATACGAGAACAGAGTTTCGGACGAACTGTCTCGCGTGCCCAGGGCCGGAGTCATCTGTCAAGAAAACATTACAGGGAAACAAGGCTGGACCGCTGTGTAATTACCACGATGCGCATCCCGGCGTCGACCCCGTCGATCCGTCAAGGGAAATGGCTTCATGAAACTGTGCCCTGTCTGCGCGGGAAGTCACCGGAGTGCGGCCGCCGCGGGCGCGTCCTGAAAAAAGCTAAGAAGTACCGAGAAGGGCCATTGTCTATTGCATGCCCGCCAGTCTGGGCAGCCGTTAGTTTTGTGTGTGCCCAGATTCTAGCATTGTGGTCCAGCAAGCGCCGTGTGTAGGCGTCTCATATCCTTGCCTCCCATGCTACGTAATATACAGATAATGTCATTTGCACGTTCCCAGCCACTTTCAGCGTGCATACCGCGTAAGACCTCGGAGAGGAAATGAGAGATCCACAACGTGGCTGTTCAGAATGTGACTGGCCAGATCTGAGAGGGCGGGAATGAGCAGGAAATGGCGGTTCCATATACCGGGGTCACCGGCCAAGCTGGGCTAGCAAATGGACTGCCGAGATGCCAGAAGCTCGCTCTATAGGCGAAACAGATACCAACTAGACCGTGGCTAAACTGCCATACTAACCAGGCATAGGCTAGGCAGAATTGTGTGGGTTTGGGTTACTGCTGACAACTTGACCCTCGTTGAAAGCCGATGCCCATTGTAGGCATAGCCCTGACGCACGGGGGGGACTTCCTACAGGACGCGTATCGCATGCCCAACATCTCGAGACAACCGAGTCCGCGAAGACTTTTCTGCCAAGCTAGAAGACATCCGTTTGGGGAAACACAAGGGTGGAGAGAAGCCCCATGAGGCGCCCTTCGGAAAGGGCTCACGGAACAGACAGGAAGTTTGTCGGGGGGTGGGCGCAAAGGAAAAGGGCGAAGGTGGTGCGGATGCCATCAAGAATGAGTGGACGGTTCAGTTCGTGGGTCACTCAGCCATCCATCGACCGACGAAAGTGCTGAGTAAGCCGTGCCCTGGAATCGCGTCATCCATGTTCGTTATTAAGGTTGTGGCTGATATTACCACGGAGATTTGGCCCGTGTCAAGTCGGCAGATCGCCGAAAAAGATCACTCGTCAGATCTGGACAGGGATCTCGTCCCATCTTCATCTGATGGCCAGATGATGATCGGTGGGGAGAGAAGGAGGATAACAGAAGGGGAGTGGAGGATCGCCTTGCAAGGAGGCACTGGGCGAGGTGCACTGCTTGTCTTGGCGGGAAAAGGCACACGGTGGTAGGCGCGCGATGCACATCTCAGATGGCCGAGGCAAAGGAGGAAGAAGATTTCGGGTAGATCAGATCGGGACGCCAAACTCGGGATGAAAGATTGCCAGCATCGTAGCGTCATCAAACGGCCCACCTGCATGTCGTCTGGACATGGGCCGTGGCCCCAACAAGGCCGTTGGAACCCCGAGCGCTCGATCGGCTGCACCCGAGCGCGGTGATAATGCAACAGGAAACGGCGGCAGCCTCGCCGGGCGGAAGCAGAGATGATTGGCAGGCGGGCAGAAACACATTGAATGTGTTCCCAGCACGGACTAGCCTGCGACCACGCTCCCCGGCCTGTGCTCTATCCGGCAGCAAGGTTCAAGGCATAGGCCCGGTGTGACACGGAAAGGCATCCCAGGCAGGGCAGCAGCAGGGAAACAAGCAGCAGCACGCCGATCAAACAGCCTGCAGGGGCGGGGGAAGGCACCATATCATGGGCCGCGCCGATGTGGTACGAAGGTGGCGGGCAGCTCGCACGCGAGTCCCTGGGGCCGGTTGAGAGAGGCGCTCCGTCGTGCCCGGGACGCGACAAGCCGCGCGGTGCGGATGGGAAACCGAGAGGCGCAGTTATCGGCGGCGGCTGCCAAGAACAGCAGAATACTGCAGGATGTGCATGGTGTACATGCCACACCACACCACGCAATCGCATACTGAACGGGCACGATCTCACGCTGGTGCCACGAGGCATGTCTTGCTGACCAGTTAGCACGTTTATGCAGGGTTTGCGTAACATCAGATCCGAGACAGCGGCCATCGCGCCGGAACGCCCCAAGGCTAAGGAGACGGATTGAGCTCTGGCGTCGCGTGTGTAAGCATAGGACAGACGGAACAACCAAAGGACAAGCCAAAGGGTGACCGGCCGAGGGCAAGCACCCGGTTGAGAGTGCTGTCGTTGTGCTCGTGGCGATCAGGGAGCCAGCCAACTGAGGACCTGTGCACCCCCGCCTGCTGGGTTGGCGGCTGGTGACCCTGCGTGAGGGATGACAGATGGTGCACAGTAGCGTGTTCTGGGTCCCAGAGAATGCTTGCTTGGCTCTCATCAGCGTCATGACGGAGGGGAAGAGGTTGACGTGCCTTGCAGCGTCCATGTCCGGGGCAGACCGAAAGCAGCCAGCCGCCAACTGGACTGGTGGGTAGGCTGGCAGCGCGGCATATCCGGCAGCTGCCCAAGGTCGGTGAACCTGGGGCACGAGTCGTCCGATGTCGAACCATGATGCATGAAAGCTGTGATCAGCCGGCAGTGGGCTGGAGGCAGCGGCCAGGAACAGAGTGCCATGATGTCAGACGATGAAACGAGGGTTCTTTGGAATTTGAGTTTGAGCCAAACGTGCTGAGCAGGACCAACGGGCCGTGAACCGCCTGGAACTGCTCTGCATTGACAGGCAGTCGGATGCCGACAAGGTTGGGAGTGGACGCCGGCACAGGGCATCCCAGGCCGTTGGAGCTGCCGAACCGGACCGGGACCGGTAGAGGCGGCTGGGTGGCGGTGGTTGGCGGTGCCGATCAGGCAAACAGCAGCAAGGAGAAGAGGCTTTCATCTCGGGTGGAGGCGGGCGGATGGACGGCAAGGGAGATGGCTGGCTGGCGGGATCGTAGATTATGCCAATGTCGGACAAGGGGCGAGCCTGTTGGCAACTAGGAAGAGCAGATAGGTACATACGCACGTACACACACACACCAGACACAGCAGTAGGACTGCCATTGTGCAGTGTAGGTGAAGGAGGAGGAGGCGGGAGAGAGACCGAGTGTGTGCGTGGCACGAAGGGAAGTCCTGGTAGCAAGGCCCAGACCGTGGCGAGGCATGAACGAACATGGCGGAGAAGAAGGGCGGGGCGTGGGCGTGAGCATGGGCATGGGCATGGGCATGGGCATGGACATGGGCATGGCACGAACATGGACATGGGGCATGAGGATGAGACCCGGGAAAGGGAGCGCACAACGGCGACTGTCTGTCTTGGCTCAGGGCTCAGGAAAGAGGGCTGAGGTGACAGGCGGAACGCGCCCGAGGGGCCTCCCTTTCTCCCCTTGGACCCTTCTTAGCAGTTAACGGCGGTCCCGTGGCCGACGCCAACAAACACCAGACAGGAGCGCCACCAGACGAAGCCCAGCAGAAGCGGCTACGGCTGCGGCTGCGGCTGCGGTAGAACCAGCACGAGGAGACGGGCTCAGCGCCCAGCCTGCCTAGCGCGCCGATGTCAACACTTCGGTAGTCGGAACCGTCGCACCATCAGCACGGAGTTTGGGATCGTTTTGGGAATGACAGCTCGCCCGGCAAGGTGTGCCCGCTGTTGCGGTTGCGGTCAGACAATGACAGGGCAGGGCAGGGCACTCGACACAGACACAGACACAGACACAGACACAGACGCGTCGATGCTGAGCAGGGCGGGGTGGTGTCGCGCATGAAGGAGGCGACGCAGCCAGATGCCATCCGATGTCAGGTCGTCAGATCGTGCGGGAGCACCGGAGAAAAGGGGAGGGAGGGGAGGGGCTTGGTTGGTTGGGTGCTGGCGGTGATGGTTTGGTATTATTATTATGATTAGGGGCCAGTGTGTTATGACGATGGCTTGGGTGTTGATAGGATGACATGGAAAATCAAACCTGGGGCAAGGCAGGATCGACCCAACCCTGGTTGGGAACTGGCGGGCCAACGGGCCAACGGGTCTACAGTGTTGACTTTGGCTGGGCTGTGTGGCCCTGCCGGTGGATACAACAAAGCTCCTGCTCTCACTCACACTCACACTCACACTCATGCTCACGCTCGGGTCTTGGTGGTGTTTGGCCGCGGGCCCTGGTCGGTGAGGTCGAGTCGAGCTCGATTTCAATTTCGACCCAAGCCTGGGGGTCTGCATTGATCAGGTGGTGGTTGCGCTGCTCCTGCTCCTGCTCCTGCTCCTGCTTGTGCGATGGCTACTCGTGCCCCTGCTCCTTCCGCGGCCACCCCCCCCCCCTGTCTGGGCTGGCCCTGCCTGCCTTGCCCTTGCGTGCTGCTCCCTCAGCCCCCTGGCCCCTTCCCCCCTGGTCTCTCGTCCCTGGCAGGTGGGTCAGCCCAGGCCAACTCTGGAGACAGCCAACCCTTGCAGGGTAGTAGGGCAGCAGCAGGGCAGCAGCAGGGCAGGAGGGACTGGAGGGGGGGAAAGGCAGGAGGGGTCTTGAGAGGGCGCTGGGGGTTGCCCGCGACAGGGGCGCGGCTGGAGTTCACCCGTGGCGCTGCAATGGTTCGCTCTTTGCCTGGAGTATCAGGGCAATTTGAGTTTGACTTGGGGGAGAGAGTCAGGAGGGCGGCAAGACCCGACAGACAGGTGGTCGATGCTTAATTCTCCGACTGCGTGCCCAGGTCGGAGGTCTGCCGTGCCGTCTACCGCCTGCCGCCTGCCCCGGCCTGCCTGCCTGCGTGCATGCGTGCCTGCGTGCCCCTCTCATGCATCTCCAACTGCCTCTTCAGCCAGCGTCCTCACCCATCCAGCCATCCTCAAGACCCTCGCATCCACCCCTCCACCTCCACCTCCACCGCCCCTGTCCAGCTCCGGAGAACAATGCAGAGGACACGTGACGGGCACTGCGACAGGGGCAGGTGTCGAGTGTGATGAAGCACAGAGCGCAGTGCAGGGCAGTGCAGGGCGGCGACGGAGCACGACAGGGCATGACATGACATGGCAGGACAGGCTCTACAAGCCCTTGACTCCCTACTCGCACATTTCTCGGATAAACCGGTGGCATTATTTGCTTGGTTTGATCCAAGTTTGTCCTAAAATTGGTTGATCATAACACCAGGGGTTGACATTGTATATGGACTGTGTGCTATCATATCATAGCTGCTCGCATGGGAAGCACGGTGCCTACCTGCAGCACAGTGCCGCGGAAGCCTTTGTGCAAGACGTTGCCCGTCCATGTAGACTACAGCATCTCTAGACTACCTGCTTGGTTGATCATGTCGACAAGTCGAGGCCTTTATCCAAGGCATGTGTGAGCACCTCGGGCGTGACCTCGGGCGTGACCTCGCACGCAGAGGCTGGTCGGTCCCGAACGCCCATATACAACCTCTCGAGGGCATTGGAGGGCTGCACATGCCATGCCATGCCATGCCATGCCTGCCTGCCATGCCTGCCATGTCTGCATCACGATGCGTTGCCCTGCATCGCAATCTATTCCAACGTTGCAGTAGGCTGCCATCCGCCATCTTACCACTTGGTATTACCGTGTGCTAGTCGTGCAACCAACCTGGGCAACCAAGCAAGTACACAGTGGTCTTCGTAGTAATTCGCTATAGGCTTTTGCGTGGGTACCTAGCCCGCATGTAAATACACGGCCTGTCCACGGGGTACAGTAACTGGGCTGGGAGAACACACACCTGCAGCTGCAGGTCCAGTTTTTAGCATTGACATGACAGGCCCTGCAACCCAGGACCACAGATGACAGCTGTGCCCACGGGGCCCATGGCGCACCGTGCTCTTGTTCACTGAGACGAGACCGGGGGGCACCTGCCGCGCGCAGCATGTGCCTGGGTGCGTGTATCCATGTACCCCCGTACCTCGGTACTCATGTACCTCGTGGCACATATTGAGACAATGCTGGTGGCCGCTGCCAGAACTGTCAGTTCAAGGAACAAGCAAAGCCACTTCCATCCTCGGCCGACCAAACGCTGGTGAACAACTCGACGGGCGCGGAGGCAGAACAAGGACAAGTCAACAACAATGCACCACCCACTCGTGCCGGACCAAATCGAGTCGAGCTATTGGTCATCGAGTACCCCGTCGCCCGGGGCGCACAGAGCAGACAAATCAAACTCCATCTCCACAGTGACAGTCTGTCTCCATGCCGCCCGTCATGCCACGGTCAGGTCTCCCGACTATCGACGGCTCACCTCACTGTTCGAGTTCGAGGCCATGCCACAGCTCTCTTAATGCCCACCAGGTCTGCTGCTAGTCACTGCTTGTGATTTGCCCGGCCCCACCCGTACATGAGCGCGCCTTGGCCAGCCCGTCCAACCGCCGGCCCCACGACCGAGCTATACTTGTCGCCCATATAGGTGGGCCACCAGGCTCAAGTCGAACCAGCTTTGACCGGTGCGCGGGAACCCTCCCCCCTCCCTTCCCACCATGGTCAAGCCTAAGCCCGCGCCTGAAGAAGTTGGGCCATCACGACCAGGCATCGCGGCCATACCGGTTTCCTTGCAGGATAGATGACACTCGGGCGTCTCCCTCGGAACAAACCACCAACAGGGCCTCTCCGCGCAATACGTCCGTCGTACATTCCCCAGTCTGCCCATCCAGCAGGCCGACGTGGGGCCGGACGCCTGCGGCTTTCGTATCATTCTTGCTGTACCAAGATTCCGCGCCTCAAATCCCATCACCTGCAGACGGGCAGGAAACAAGACAGTCTATCTTCCTCGGGTGTGGGACCCTTTCTGGCAGCTTCTCTCCTGCTGTGGGCCACAAGCCTGACGAAACGGGGCTGTAGGGGTTGAAACATCCCCTTCCAAGCCCCCTTTCAGGAGGCTCAGAGGCTCAAAACGGCACCGCCTCCCCGCTTTTGTTCCAATCCTGCCGGGCAATCTATCTTTTGACAGATTTGACAGCTACTTGACAGGCATTATTGTCCTCCAGGCATCATGCTCCGTGGTATGCAATCCGGAAAAATCACCGCGAGCCATCCCTCATCGTCTTTAGGTCCGGTAGGGTCCTGGCCCCTGTCTTTTATCTGCCCGGCGTGAGATTGCGCGCCAGCCGGGCCCTGCAGCGGCAGGTCTAGCCGCGTCAGTACTCTCTATTGTGCTATTGCAATGGCCGAGTCTCTCCCTTCTCAGTATGGCCGAGGAGTCTTGCTCAGCGTCGACGCCCATGAGTACAATGCTCCTGCCTGGCTTCTAAGAAGATTAAAACCGAAGTCTTCGGCGCCGATGTGGAGCCTTTCCGGTGTTTGTATATCAATCCTTGAGCAGCAGGCATGTGGAGACGCCGTGGCTAGCAACGTCAGCATTTGACTTCCAACGCTGGCAGTCCATCCGGGATCTTTATGTCATCACTGGCATGCTTAGAACCACAACCGTGTTAGGCAAGCTTGCTTACATCCTCTGGTGCCGTGTCGAGAGAAGAATCGGCCGAGCTTCTTGTAACCGCTAGGCAGTACTGGAGGATTAAAAGCACGCATCATGTGAGACAGCAGAGGGTCACTGGCCGAGAACGAAGCACGGTCTTCGAAAAAACCTGCCTCATTTTCAACCAACACGAGTCATCCGAGCTTCTCTTTCCACCGGTCTTGTAGACTGCGCCTGTGTGCTGGTGGAGCGGGCCTTGGAGACAGGCCAGGAGCAGTACGGCAGTTGAGCACCAACTGACGCGGGACAAGGGGCCAACCGTCGCACAACAGAGCAGTCATAACCCGCACAGCGATGCCAGCAATGGTGTTGTGGGGATTGAGGGACTGCTCACGACACCACAAGTGGGTTTTTCTTGGGCCACTCATGAGTGTGGAAAAAAATCCGCTACCCGAGGAAGATATAACAACGGGTGAGAACTTGTCACAGTCTAAGCCATCCCAGCACCAAGCCGAATGAAATGGCACATGCAACAGTCCCTAGATACCCTGCGTTTGCGCCGGCGTCCAGCCAGAGCTTCTGCACCACAGGCCGGCAATCGAAATCTCTCGTGGTGGGCGCGACGCTGGCTCCACTGAACCAATAACTAGCATTTCTCAATTGCCCGCGTGGCCAAGAACAGCATTGCAGACAATGCTAGGGCACAGGAGAGACTTGTTGACCACAAGCTCAGGGATTCCTTCGGTCCACATTGAGACTTGTTCCCGGCGGCGGCGACAGCGACGGCAGCAACAAGCAAAGTGGGGAAATCGAATCGCTACTAGGCCCCCAAATTAGAAAAGAAGAAGGCGACGAAAACCGAAGCAAAACCGCCAGAGAAAGACCAGACGAGGCGAGATGACGATCTGGGATTGGTTGGCGCAGCCCTGGCCTCACTCACCTCAGCCCAGCGGTCTGTCTTGTTGGGAGCATCCTCGTTCGCCCTCTGCTAGCTTCGATCTTGTACCGGCGCCGTTGGAGCTAAGGATGCAACCCCCACGATCTAATCCGGGTAGGACGTGTCGCGATGATACTCTTGATCTCTTGATCTCTACGACGCAGATATCAGACGACTCTACCTTTGGGCTTTGTTGAGCGGTCTTTGGTCTCGGTACCGCGGATGTGCATCGGATGCATTCACCTCCCGGGAGCTTTCCTCATCCCCGGGTTGCAAGTCGTTGGCCAGGTGTTTTTCTGCCAAATTTCTTTTTCAACTTTAAGCAGGTCCCGGGCTCAGATGTGCCAGGAACTAAGATCAGTCCGGACGCCAGTTCCGCCGTACCGCACGCATGAATTTCGTCGACCCTGGAGGAATGAGTCCGCTCGACGCCTGCCCATGTTCTAACCAGCGTGCCATCCCACCACACGAAGGCCGGCACTGTTCACAAGGTAGTCAGCGGCCGGCAGTAGTAGGGCAGCGCCCCTTGTGTCTCGTCGGCCAGGAACGACGCCCTGTGAGCATCCCCACACCGCCCAGGCACAAATCTGCGAGGAACCCACCCAGAACTTGAAATTCATGCGGAACGTACGAAAATAAACTCCGACCGGGCACGAGGACTAGAGCAGCGCGCAACGGACACTACCATAGCACGATGACCAGGAGAGGAAGGAATCCAGCGACGGCGCTCAACGCCGCACAGTTCCAGTCGGACAAGCTAGGAACGTCTCGGACCGTGATTTTTCAGCCTAGCATGCCTGTTAGACCTTCGGGCCCACCAAGTCAGTGCTGACCGTTGGCGCTGTCAATGCTAACAGCACTTCCTTCGGCAACGGTTTCGTGGCCCAACCGAAGCCGGTTGCCTGAAGAACCGAAAAGCCATCATATGGTCCTCTGCTTCTTCCCAATGGCACAGCACGAGAAGCATTGATCCCGGCTCGGGGCTTGTGAGATCAGCAAGGGAGATCCATGGCGGCCTCTCGACCCTGAATGGGCAGAGCCTCCCGGGTGCAGAGCGAAACCTGAGCACGTCCACGAGCAAATGCCATGTCCTTGGCACCTCTGCTAGGTACCGACCCACACAATATGGCATCCACGCGGAAGATCCCAAACCCTTGTTCAAGCTTGGGCCAAAACCACCCTCGGGGCCCCCTCGGGCTAACACAGCCTGCAGCACATCTCTGCCCACCTACCACCCATCACCAGACACACCTCGTCTCTAGTTTGAGACCCCCCCTCCATTTTACCCGTGTTTTCAAATCTTTATCAGAAATGACGAAGACGTCCCCTGTCTCACCACCGAGCGCACCACCCATGCTTTTGTCAGCGCTCTAGCTGCTCTGTTTCTGTCGTCTTTCGCGCGTCATGTCCGCCCGCTCGTACGGTGAGATCGCTACAACATACCCACTAGACTTCACTTTGGCAGCAATGCCAGCCTGCAGGATGAGCAGGGACAACGCAAGACGCCGGCCGCTGCTGGCTTCGGCGGTGGATACAAGGAGGCTCTCCCGCTATGTTCGGGGCGTTTGACCCGGCTCGGCTTCGCAGGCCATGCAATCGGGCAACCAACAGCACGGAAGCTCCCATACCAATGTGGTCCACGCGCGGGCCACTGCAGGAGAAATGTAGCCTCAGCTCAGGTCTCGACAACTCCCCCTCGGTCGGGACAGCTTTGAATCCGCGAGGGCTGGTCAGTGAAAGTCCCAGGGAGCGCTCTACGCCCGCGTAGAGAAGCTGGCGCTGAAGAACAAGCTGTCTCATCTCGAAAATACTGCACTCTCGTGCTACAGCAGCTGTGAGAGCTCTGGCAGGAGAAAGTCCTCCCAGTGGGGCTCCCGAGCGAGACAGCATAGACAGGAAAACGCCGACTGCTGGCTCGTCCGCAGATCTGGGGGGGAGGGGGCCCCATTTCGGCGAGGTACCTGACTGAGCGTGCAAGAAGCTTGAAACCTCATGGCTCAATCTTGTCGAAGACAAGGGTCGGGGGTAACATGGATTAAGGCTATGGACCGGGGAGGTGAAGCTCTGCAGTCAATGTGTCTCCAGCCCCCCACAACGTGGGCCTGTGTCAACGCTTTGAATACAAGTCTCCACCTAGACGCTTCCCCTGTCCGCTATAGCAACTACTCCTTTATCCCTGCTGTCCTGCTTCCTCGAAGACGCACTACGTACCTCTTGGTGCAAGAGCAGGACATCGTCCGCTGTGAAATTCAGGGCCTGGCCCCGAACGATCTTCGTTGACGATCATATCGAAGTTCCCCTGCATGACTTAATACCGTCTCTTCCGACCTCAACAGCTCAAAAACTTCCATCACTTCTGTATCAGCATCACGACGAGTACGCCGCCATCTCAGACCGGCCCAATGACTGATGTCACCCGTCAATGCCACGCCCAATATCATGCTGACCATCCTATAACGCCTGTCTTTTAATCTCCCTGGACGCTTTCCTTCTCCCTCACACCCGGGAACCACCAACCAATAAACCATACAATTCGTCTCCTCGAGGTGATATCAGCCCTTTGCGCCTTGGGACGTCGATCCTACTCAAACATACCCGACACGACCCTCGCAAGTCTATCGTCATCTCTGGCGAAGCTGGAAGCAACCCTGATCCAGCCGTGACCTGCCCACGAGATCTGATCGAACCTTCCGCGCCACAATTCCTTCTGACTTGCACGACAAGACTATTAGCATCTATCACTGTGTGCGCACGTCCGACGGCAAGGTCGGGACGGTGGGCACAAGTTTAGCGAGGTTCACGCCGTCTACACAGGACTGTGGCCGCTGCTGCCCACGACCTTTGAAACCCTATTCCCAAACTGGACCAATAACCTCTGAACCACGGCATTTACGAGCCACCGTTCTCGAGTGTGCGGCGTACCGGAGGTTCTCGCTCCCACTGAGACCGGTGGGTGAGCCAAGAGGGTCTCGTTTGGCCAGCTCCTGTCCCATCGATTCTCTCACCTCCACATACGACTCACTCCAGTTATCGTATCTTCTTCAAAGAAGTAGGCCCGTCATCCTGGGCTGCCACCTGTCTCGACCAGAACGAGGCAACATCTTGCCTGGAACAGCCAGGAAGCAGTGGTCGTCTTGACTGACAGAGCACCACACTTTGGCATCACCGTTCCGCAAGGTCTGGGGTTTGTCCAGGAGCACATATTCTCCGCCACATCCTACTACCCTCCAGCCATTGGCTCTGACGCAAGGTACCGCTGCGCAATTTGAGCTTGGTACCCTCTAGTCAGCGGGTACCCCCTTCTGAATCTCAACAAGCCTGGGTCTCCTTCCGCGGCTCGAGTCCTGGCATCTGCCAGAGCTATAGCGTCGAGCCGGCCTGCTCTCCCAATACCCTACATCCCCGCTGGTTCCCAAGCGAAGCCCACCTCGCGATCCAGCCCAGCCCGGAGCAACATCAATCTCTTTGATTACTAGCGTGGGCAGAACACCCCATCCCCTTGCGGTCTCAGTACTTTGGTACAACCACCCTGCAGTGGAAACGCCCTGTCCACGTCAACCGTCGTTCGGAGCAGATCTAACATATCTACGAGCACTACCCTCTCCACTTCTGTATCACGATCTCTGGGTACATCTGTCCACCTACGCAGCCGAAACCATCCCGACCGGCACCATCGATCTGGATCGAAATTTGCTCGCTGCAACTGCGGTCATTTCCCGAATCAACTGTGGATATTATATGCGCCAGTGTTCGAAAATTATCGAGAATCTGTAGTGACCCTGCGCTGACGCGTGTCACGGATTACCTTTCTCCAAAGTTTCATTGCATCCGTCGTCGGGATCATCACAGTGTTGTCCCAAGGGACGGTTCACATCTGCCCGAGAGTTGGCTCCCCGCGAACCCGACGAAGAAAGTTCGACATCTTCTGACTGTCGTGGTGACAGACGACTCTCTTCTTACTCTACATCTCATACAAGTCTTCTTTGGATGGACTTTGCGACCTCAGGGTTTCCGCCTCTCCCGCTCTAGCACAGCCGCTTGCACTTGCACTTCCGACGACGAGAACATCGTAGTCAGTCGCCACACCAAGTGCACAGAAACTGCGGAGCGTTCTAATCCGGCGCTTCGGAACCATTCGACACGATCTTGACTCTTTGCGTCTTTCCCAGACCACGGGCGCAATTGTTTTTGAAAGTCAGGCGACCGCAGAGATACACATTGGTTCGGACTTTTTCGACCGACACCTGGCCGACGAAAGTGCAGGATAGAGCCGAGAAGCTACTATAATACTTCTTATTAGTTTTGGTTTAAAGGTTAGTCTGTCTCTTCTTGCTCTGCGCTATAGGGTGCTGTCGCTCTCCATCTGCTCGCCGTTTGCCCTTCGCGGCGTTGTCACGCAGCTGCCACTGGGGATTGCAGTTTGTACATGGGAGGCAGGGTATCTCCACCCTCTGTTGTTAAGAGCAACCCTTTGTGGGGAGTCCTATTGTGGCCAGTCTGTCTGTGGGGAATTGTCAGAAAGATGTCGGCCAGGAAGTGAGGGCGAAACAATTCAAGTGCTAACTTGCGTCGCGACAGTTCAAACTGGAGTGAACTTTTGATCACAGGTCACAATTGTTATTTGAACACGGATTCACACGGATTCACGTATAGGGTTGATTTGAGGCGAGACCGTCACGACTTACAGAAGAAGACGCGAACCGAATCGAACAGGCATACGAGCGAAGCCTCTGTTATCGTGCGCGCACCAGGAAGCGGCAATGTCTGCGTACGACTTTGCCGGAAACCCGCAATGGGGACCATTGTATCCGTTGGGAGGGTCTTCTCAAAACCTCTTACCTCATGTGTCCCAGGCTGCCCAATCGATTTCGTCGACCTGGGATCACAACTCTCCATACCGGTTGACAATGAAGCAACAGCCAGAGAGAGCAAAGGCCGCCAATGCAAAGGACAAAGACCGAAAACCAGTTGACCCCCCTCCGGTCTTGCAACTTGATGTGGATCCGAGCCAAGATCCTTTGCAGCTTTACATCACCTCTCCTTACCTGTTTGTTCAGACATTCCTGATCGGAGCCGCTGAGTCCGACCCGGATCCAGACTTGAACGCGCTCACCGGAAACACCTGCACAAGTGGACACGTTGTCAAGGACGACCGCGGTGTGCATAACATGATGTTTTGCTTGAACGACATTTCTATCAAAAAAGAGGGCACTTACCGATTGAAATTCTGTCTGTTCAAGCTCAACACAACGACGGGAGACGTCGAAAACCTTACTTCTGTCTGTTCCGAACCGTTCACGACATACAGTGGAAGGCACTTTCCCGGAATGTCAGAGTCAACGTCAATGACGAGGCTGTTGGTTGATGCTGGGGTCCGTCTTCGCCTGCGCAAGGAATCGAAGGCGATGAGCACCAAGAAGAAGAACAACGCATTTGCACATATGATGAGCCGCAGGGGCCGTGACGAGGACGAGGATAGGCCTGGAAAACGTGTGCGGTCCGAGACCGGGGACGACAAGCCAATGGCTTACTCGAAACATGGCAGTTTTTCCCAGCCGCATTCGTTCGCAACACATTCGACTCCCTCCTCCTCGATGGCCCACTACCCAGGCGGCTTCCACGCGGTCACCTCGTCTCCGGGCCAGAATATCGCCCCGATGAGCTCCATGCCGACGGCTTATAACCAAGGGATGCATTCGGCTTCACCGATGCTGAGCCTTGACACACACGTCAATCAATACCACAACAGCCCAACCTCGACCGGATCGAGCTACCATTCTCCAGCACGGCAATCCCCGACATCCGGATATCAGCTACAGGCGACAGTGGCGTCTTCTCAAGGTCTCGTCGCGACAAGCCCACTGGCTCAGTACAGCAGTAGCCACACGACGCAGCCTCCAATACTACCACCAGTTGATATGATGAACCCGCACGCAGGCTCTTCTCCGGACCTGAACTACACGACATCCGCGAATTACGGCGGAGGTTATCTTCCCTCGTCGCAGTCGCGACACCTACCCTCGATGCAGCAGAGATCAACAAGCTGGGGCTCGAGCATGCCAATGCGGATGAACGCGCCGATGCTACAGAACGGACAGTCGCTACCATCCGTGAGCGGACCATACGGCGAGGGGAGCATGTTCGAGCAATACAGCTACGGACCAAGGGATGGTCATTGATTGATGACTCGGCAGTTGGGGCGGGCGTGATGCCCTGTTCCAATCACGGCATAGAAAATGGATGACGATGACCCAGGACGATTGGCAATTCTCAACGGCACCTGTATAATTGGCCTTGATGCACCTAATGAAGGCAGCCGATTTCAGTTCTAGCACCTTGAGCTGTCCCGCTGGTGGAGATCCAACGGGAGGCTGCTTTTGACGCCTAATACCTTTTATTCAACCCACATGTTTCCTAGCTGTAACAAGTCATCGAGCATTTCTGGGCGGGCAAAAGAGATCCTTGGGCGGAGGAGACGCGCCGTTTCATGAGACAACAGGAAATTTCCCAAGATACCCCCATACCCCTTGATAGCATTTTCTTTTTCAGGACATTTCATTTGTACATCCCTTCCAGGCATCATTGTATGGAGTTCTTTGGACTGCGGATGCCTCTCTCGGACACAGCTACCCCAACTCGGACTACTGTTTCCTTTACGCCTTACTGGCATTCAGACTCCCACCTTCAATACAGAACAAAATGGCAATACTGTCACAAAGCTCCCAAAGTCTTGTCGACGTACTGAGTGCACTTTGGCCTTCCGAGTTACTACCACGCGCCCAAGCATGAGGATCTGAGCCAGAATTGATAGACAAGGTCTGAAATGGCCATCGATTGTGCCAAATAAACATTGGCTTCGACACAGATTTGACTGCAGAAGTAGTGAATCGGGGAACATCATTAATTTTCATGATTCGGGTTTCAACAATACGGGTTGCGTGTGAACCATGAGATTGCATCTACGACGACCAAGTCCCCGGATCCCTGAAGCCCGGGTCTCTTCCCGAGGTATTGATGTGACGTTGCACACTCTTTTGGAAGCACCTATTTTTGTGTCGTCGGAGATGAAGGGCGAGGTCTTGGCATTACACTCCCAACGAGCCGAGCCACTACCCATGTCAGTTGATCGGGCGAGGCAATTGAGGAGAGGTATCAGATGAGGATCGAAGACTGGAAATTTAAGTAGGTAACGTGTTGTTATACAAGGTAAGATGATTTTGTGTCTGGGTGCTGATCGAAGGACGACATCATTATCTCTACCGGATTCGTCCCAGTCGAGCTTAGAATTCACTGATACGTGTCTGAATTTTGCCCCTCCTTCAATACACCAGTGTCGAAGCCACGCCTCCCCGGCCTTCATATCATTGGCGCACCACAGGTGTACGTACACTGCATGCGTAGTTGACGTCCCAACAAGGGCGCTTTCTTTGCTGATGTAATCGCGTAATGCCCAAATGACCGATAATGCTCACCCGAAAAGTCATCGGCAGGAGGGAGGGAGTCATGACTGCTCGAGGAGAACCCGCAGCATCTGGAGTTGAATGAGAACAAGGAGTGAGATGAAAGGAGACAGCCATGGGGTGATCGAGTACAGCTGATGGCGGAGGGGAGAAAGAAACACGTAGTTGATAGTGTTGCGCCACTAGGCGACCATGTTCGGGTACAAATAGGGCTTGAAGCGATGTTCCACCTGAGGAGTACCTAAGTGAGGTAGACAGGGCTCTCAATGATGAGATATCAGCTTTAGAATTTGCCTGTGCCTAGCTATATTTTAAACACACGTAAATACACAGTGCTAGATTGCAATGACGATCTCAACAATGAAAATATGTGGGCCCTGTTTAGAGGGATCAAGCTTATACCTGAGGACGTTTCTTCCATTCTATGGGTATACCCATCTCAGTACAAAATGCGTTTTGAGAAAATACGGAAAAAAAAAAATCAAATTACCCAAAGCCCCGTCTGTGACACCGTTCTTGGCGGAGAATTCCATGCTCTGAAAGAGGATGGGTGGCTCTACCCTGGGTGTCTCATCGGCATACACCCTATGTTCCAGCTTGGTAAGTATAGCCCAATGTACTTACGGGTTTGCCTTTCCAGTAACTGAAATTTACGCATAGATGGGTTTCTATTGGTAGGTCTCTCATACGTATAATAATTGTATGGGAAGCAATTGTGTATTGGTGTTGTTCTGTTTAAGTTTTAAAAGGCTATGTGCCCCGTAGGGGATAATTAAAGTAGCCTTTTAATAGCAAGGGTTATACTTATTAATACTTAAAGTTTTTTCTTTTTTTAATAAGTATATATAATCCTTATTATAATTAGCTTAAAATTATAATTTATTATATATTATATATATAATCTTTATTATAAGAAAGTATTGCTAAAAAGGCTTAAAATTATAACTTATAAGTTTTAAAGTAAGTTTTAGCAACCCTTATTATTATATTATTTCTTAAACTTGCAATCTTTATTATTGCATTACCCTTTAAACTTATAATTATTATTATTATATTATTTCTTAAACATTATACTTATTATTCTTAATACTTAGCTTTTAAGGTTACTTTTTTATAGAAATTATTAACTTTTACATAAAAGCCTTAGTTTTAAATCTTTTCTTTGCAAGGAAAGTTAATGCTTATAAAGCTAATATTAAACTTTTTAGCTTATGTTTATTTTTATTACGCACCTTTATAATGCAAACATTATTATTTCTATTCTTATTCTTATTATTAAAATGCACTTAATATTGCTTTAAATTAATTTCCTTTAGCTATTTTTTATCCTCCTAAAATTAAGCGTTATAAGCAGCTTGCTTATTTATTATTTCTTTTTTTCGCTTTTTATTATTTTTTTTAATTTTCTTAATGGTTATCTTTTGCTTAAGTTGCTTAAATAATGGTGCATATTTCTTAATAAGTCCCTTTATATACAAGCCTTATATATATTTATTAATAATTTAATATAAAAAGTTTTAAAGCTAGGTTAGCATAGCAATTTAATTCTTTAATAGCTAAATTTTTTTAATTTAATATATATAGAAAATACTTAGGATTAAAATTCTTATTAAGTTGTTTATTATGGAAATTGCAATAATTTAGCATTTAAAATGGTAGTTACCTTAATGGTTTTTATTATTAAGGATGCTATGTAATTTTGCATTAAGAGTTTTAATATTCTTAATATAAATGCATAGCTTTTTAACTATATTATTAAAAGATATTTACTTATCTTAATACTAAAAGTTATTAATAATTTAAATAATAGCTATTATAATAGCGTTATTTAGGAAAAGTATTTTAATTTAAGCTATAGTTATAGCCTTTAGCTTATTAATTTTAATAATTCCTTAAAAGTTTATTTTAATAAGTAGCTTACTTTTTTTAATGTTTAGCATAAAAATAAAGTTAAAGGCAGTTTTTGCAATCTTTATTAAGATCTTATTAGCTTAATTTTAATTATCTTTATTATTAGCAATAATTAAATTACCATTAATATTAAGCGAATAAGAGTCATTATTATCAACATCCTTATTAACATTCATTAAATAAGCGTTATTAGCAATAACCTTGCTATAAGAATTAGCAAGATTAATAAGCTTATCTTTATCTTTATTAATTAAGGCAATTTTAGCCCTTTTTATAGCCTTAATAATAATTTCAATCTTTATCTTATTGCTTAATTAAAATATAATTGCAATATTTATTTTATTAATTAAGATTATAGTTGCAATATTTATAGGGAAATCTTAATTTTAATTAAGAATTGCAATAAGGCTACCTTTAATATTAATTATATTAATAGTAGTTATAGCAATGGTTATATTAAGTATGTCTTTAACATAGGTAATAAATGCAATGTTTATTAAATAATTCTGCTTATTATTATTATTTTTATAAGGCATATTAATAAAAGTATTAAATAACTTTTATAAGTTGTTATTAGTGTTTTTTATTATAATAAGAAGAAAAAGATTTTTATAGGAATTTAATAATTAAAATAAATGTTTATAATGCAAAACTTTATAATTATTATATAATAATTATTAATTTATTTTTTAATTATAAGAAAAGTTAATAAGTTATAAATAAATTTAATAAAAGTTAGTTTTAACATTATTATTAATAAATAATAATAAAAGGTAATAATAATAATAAGGTTAACTTTAAAATAATAATTATTAATAATATTAATAATTATAAAGTTATCCTTAACGTGGTTTACCACCTTGTGTTCAATATCACCTCGTGTCTGATTTTTATTAAGTCTGTTAACTTTAGCCAACCTTAGCACCTACCTAATGCAAACAATTTAATTAAATTTAGCACTAATTAGTGCCAACTATAATTAAATCCTTATTTATAATTAATTTTATTAATTTAAAAGCGTTGGCGTAGTTGCAGTGCTGGTTTGAATTGGTTAATTTTTGGTGAAATATGTATTTAGCATTATTTAGTATTAATTACACCCTTAAAAAGTTGGTTCGCTGCAAATCATTAATACCCATATATTTATATTAATTAATGTTAATTAGGCTGGATTTGCTATAATATAATTAAAATTTAATTAAATAAACCCTTTTTTATCTTTCTTATAAGTTTTTACATTATGCTTAGTCTTATTGCAATTATTATATCGTCTTTTAATTAATTTATTATAAATTAATTCCTTAGCATTACTATTAATTTTATTAGCTAGCTGCTTCCCCTTTTATTTTTCTTAAATAAAAGTATGAGATTCCTTAATAATAAATGCTTTTTTAAGCTGCACTTAGGTTTTTTTAACCCTTTAGCGTTTTATAAGCGCTATATTAGCCTCCTAAAGTATATAAATTTGCTTGCTTATTATAGTAAGTAAGTGCATTATTACTTATATACCTTTTATTAATTAGTTAATAATATTTATAATTAATATAGGGGAGCTTTCTTAATAGGTGGAGATCTTGCCCTTAATAAAACTTAATTGCTAAATAGTTTATTAAGTATTTAATAATATTTAAGATTCCCATTTTTAAGGGGAAATAAGGAGGGATTATATAAAAGTTTGCAGGCAAATATTAAGCTTAAAAATTATAAAATTAAAGTCTTAAGGGGAAATTTCAGCTCCTTTAAATATAAACTTAATGTTTTTTACTATAAAAGTCTTATTATAGGCTGCCTTAAATATAAGAAAGAAC